ATTATACACGCATTACGATTGTAAATATTATTCCTTATTCTTTTTGATTATGATCACGTAAAAAGGAAAGCGCTAATTATTTAATAACTACTAAAAAAAGCTACGTTTGACGGATAAATAATAAAGTTTTAGGACCCGATATTACGAGATTGAGAACCACTGCGGTTCCACTGTAGTGTAGCCGGGGTTGTGGTGACTAGCCCAACAAGTGACTTAAAGCTAGTGACCACAATGTTAGTATATGATGATGCTCTGAGCAACACAAGGACAACATTTAACATTTGTTGGCAGACCTAACGACACTCCGTCTCATTGTATACCTGATGGGTAAGTTCGGTATATCAATGGTGTTCACATCGCTGTACCTGTTCACCTCGGAGCTGTATCCCACGCAGTACCGGCACCGGCTGCTGGCCTTCTCCTCCATGGTGGGCCGCATCGGCTCCATCACCGCACCACTCACACCAGTGCTCGTAAGTCATCTCTTGGTGTTTGTAAACTAAGTATACCCATGGATACACTTCATGTGTTTAGTCAGTTTGAATCGAATATGTCTAAACTGCCACCAATGGATGGCAGCATGATTGCGATTTCTAAGACGTCTGCCATGCATGGGCATTGTCGCCTACCTGTACTAAGGGAGGTGCCTGTAGCTACGACATATACATGAGCTAAACGGGATATTCTCTTCAACAGATGGATTACTGGGAAGGTATACCGTCCGTAATGTTCGGTGGTATGGCTGTACTATCTGGTATCCTGGTGCTGACGCAGCCGGAGACGCTAGGCACCAAGATGCCTGATACCCTCGCGGAAGCAGAGGCCCTCGGCAAGCCAGAATCAAAAATAAAAATCTGAACACATACTCAATGTACCTTAACACTAGATGTAAGAATAACGTTACTTCTGTATTGCTTCACGTCGATTTGACGAAATTATGGCCATATTGTAAAAAATAAGCATAAATGTATCACAGAAAAATCATTATAGATTTGTAGGTGGCCGAATCTTGCAGGAAAAAATCTAAAACCACTGGAACCCATGACAAAAACCCAAGAAACGTATAAAAGAATCCCAGTAAAATTAAGATGGCAACAAATTCAGTTCCAGTAAATGACAAAAAACTTGAATATTTGTTTTTTACTTTCCCCCCACTAGGATTTTCTCCTGTGTCGTGGGTGCATTTACATTTACAAGCATAC